CATTTTGGCAAAATGTGAAGGTGAGAAAAGGAGCAAGCCATCCTTTGGGGGCGGGTAGCATTCCAGGCTATGGGAGTACTAAATGTAAAGGCCCTGAGGCAGTAAGCTGGCCCAACGTTTTTTGAGGAACAAAAAGGAAGACTATATAGTATGTAAAAAAAGAATTAGGAGACAATTATAAGATTTTGGTTTTTACTGAGTCCAGTGTTTTCTCACACCAACCAACTCTCCAACACTAACTGAGTGCCAAATTCAACTCTGGTATTAAGTGGAGTTCGAGCAGAGCCCACAGATTAAGGGCTCAGTCATACAAGGCTCCCCCACTAGAAAGACCAGTCTCAAACCCCAGGCCACCTGCACTGGAGGGCTATAAACCGGGGCTGCCTATGACTCCCTTCTCAGGTTTAATAATTTGCTAGAATGGCCTACAGAACTCAGGAAAACACTTTACTAATGCCTACTGGTTTATCGTAAAGGACACAGCTCAGGAACAGGCAGATGGAAGAGAGGCACAGGGCAGGTGCTGGAAGTACAAGGCAGAGCTTCCTCGTCTTGGAGCCACCCTCTCCCATGCCTGTGTTCACCAAACTGGAAGCTCCCCAAACCTCGTAGTTTTAGGAGTTTCTAGAGCTCCATTTCCAGCACCCCACCCTCACCCCCCATCCTAGAGGTTGGCGAGCAAGGCTTACCAGTCCAGTCCTCTAATCAGGTGGTCTTTCCAGGGAGGGTCTCATCCTGAGGCTACCTAGGATTCCCCACCTGAGTCACAAGGTTAGCATTAACTGAAAGGGGCTTGTATGAATAACAAGAGGCACTCCTAATACTCATGAAATCTGCAGGGTTTCAGGAGTTCTGTGCCAGGAATAGGTGACAAGGACCTAATATATTGCTTATACCACACTGAGACAGGAAACCACAGGAGAGTTTAAGCAGACAGTAAAAGGAACAAGAAGTGGAGGGTTTTGCTTTTATTTTGCATTATCAGGGAAAGTAACAATTCGGGTAAGTGGGTAAGTCTGATAAGGTGATTATCAGAAATCTAAGTGAACAAGTGAACCACATGAATACATGAGAAGTTGTGTTAGGCATCCAGGCCTCGAGGTAAGAACATACTTGCCATGTCTGAGGAACAACAGAAAGGTCAGTGTGGCTGCAGCATGTTTAGGGGGTAGAAGATGGGGACAAGCAGATTTGAGGGAAAAGATCAGGAATTTGATTCCTGGTACATCAAGTTTGAGGTACCTAGTAATCATCCAAGTGGAGATATGGAAAGGTAGTTAAATATCCAGATCTAGAGCTGAGACTCCTGGTCTAGAGATTCTGAGAGTCAATTACATAGGTGATATTTAAAGCCAGATTAAATGAGACAACCAGGATAGAGAGAGGAAAGAGTTCAGGATCTGGACCCAGAGGTTCAAATGATTAGTGGGCAGGGGCAGGGGCAGGCAAAGGATACAGACTGGCCTGCATGATGAGAGGAAAATCAGAATAGTATCCGGAAGCCAAAATAACAAAGTATTTCAAAGAGAGTGAGCGGTAAACTGAGAAAAATTCTGATGATACGTAAAGCAAAGGTTTAAAAAACTATTGGTTTCAGCAAGGAAGACATTCATGACCTCGACAAGAGCAGCTTCGGGGGAGTGGTAGGGCAATACTCTGACTGGAATGGGCTGAAGAGAGGACCAGAATACGAGAGACAAAAGTACCTCTTTTGAGTTTTTTTCTATAGAGGGGAACAGAAAAATGGGTCAGAGTCAGAAGAAATGGGTAGGTCAAGAGACAACTTCAAAATAGAATTAACAGCATTTTATGTTAATGTTTTATGATGAGGGCAATAGTCCATTAGAGAAAGAAAGATGGATGATCCAGGAGAGAAAGGACAGATTTGCTTGAGCCAGGTCCTTGAAATGGGAAATGAGAATTGGCCTTTTAGTATGAACAGTTACCTATGGTAATTGACAGAAGTCAAAATAGGTGGCCCAGAGACTAGCAGATGCACAAAAGTGGTTACTCTGGTTACTCCAATTTTGCTAGTGATGTATGAAGCTAAGAGTGAGGATGAAGGAAGTGTTGGAGGACAAGGTAGAAGGAGCCACCTTGAGTTTTTCATTTATTTCTAAAACTATTTCATTGTTTTCATCTCTTGTTCCTTTTTTATACTTCCAAGTCTCCCTATTTTTATTTAAACACATTAAACAATTTTATATCACATCTGATATTTTCAGAACCTAGGTCATTACAGGTCTACTTTTATAGTTTATATTTCTAATACCTCATTCATGGTGCCTGTGTGTTTGTGATTTTTTGGAGCCTGGGTTGAAAATAAACTCCTCCAGCCCTGGCCTGTTTGGCTCAGTGGTTAGAACATCAGCCTGCGGTCCGGAGAGACCCGGGTTCGGTTCCTGCTAAGGGCATGTACCTTGGTTGCAGTTTGTCCCCAGCCCTGGTTGGTTGTGTGGGTGGCAGCCACTCGATGTGTCCCTTTCACGTCGATGTTTCTCTCTCTCTCTCTCTCCCTCACACTCTATCTGTACAAAAAATGGAAAAATATCCTCGGGTGAGGATAAAAAAGAAAATAAACTCCTCCAGAGGGGATGGATATCTGCTTTTACTAGTAAGCAGGGGCATACCAACCTGGCACTCCTATAAATTAAATTGTCTCCTTGAACCCTTTCCCAGTGCAGGCAGCATGAATTTGGCCTGCAAACCGGTATAAGAGTGGCTCCCAGTTACAAATTCTCAAGGGCATTTATCCCCCCTCCCCAGGCAAGTTTCTTTCCTTTCCCCTTACTCCCAGTGGGATTCATTTCTCACTCACCCTTATATTGAAGATGTAACCCTTTGGAGTTCAAGGTTTAGTTTCCTCTCCCTGGGCAGACATGGCTTTATGTCTTGTCCATTCCACCCCATGTAGCTGTTAAAGTAGAAGTTCAAGGTCTTTGGGGTTTGGGGTAAGGGACTAAAACAGCATTATTTGAGTCCCAAGGTTATGGCTTTCTTTTTGGGGGTGGGGGGGTAACTGTATTTCTGGGTTTTATGCCACCTCAGACATGCACGTAGAAAGATTTTTAAATGTATCCAACTGAAACTACTACTTTACAGGAAAACTAACTTGTTATATCACTAATAATTTTGTGCTTTTTTTTTTTTTTTGCAAGGAGATATATTCAATATATTCATCGCAGTAATTTCCTGTGAATAGATGTATTTTTCAAAAAAATCTACTTTCTTTTATGCCTTACTGTTTTGCTTCTAATCCAGTATGTGAAAAAACTGTTTTAGTTTTCCCTTTTTCATTTTCCTGTGCTTCCCTGTGCTTTATTTCTATACTCCAAAGCAAGCAAGCACACCGGGATGTACTGTGAAGATCAGAAAGGGGCCCACTGGGGCTCCGCTCACCCTGTTCACTGACTTAAGTGTGATATCAGACATGTGAGCTCTTTGAACTTCAGTTACTTCAAGAGCCCCATGTCTGAGACGTATCAAATAAAATGAAGGAATGGATAATGAAATTTGTTACAGATTAAAGTACTATCTAAAATATAATCAAACACTGTATTAGAAAGTACCACCGGAAACAAGCCAAACATACTCACTTTTGAGGATCATGTGGCACAATGCCACTTTGAATATGCACAAAATTTTAATTTCATTGGGTAATAAAATGAAATGAAAATTACATAGGTTCACTTGGATATAACAAAATTGAAAGCTGCAATTATGAAGCATTAATACACATAATTAGTGGTAGGTGAAAAAACCAAAAGAAAAAGAAAAAAACCAGAGAGAAAATCTCATGTTAGAAAACTATCTAAATGTAAATTCCACTCAAACACAAGCATCCAGCTAGTAACTAGAAAGTAATTTTGCTATAAAGTCTGTTTTCCGTAAGTCTGATAGGCATGCCCAGATTTCCACCATCTACATTTCAGTGGTTTCCAAGTGGCGTTGAAAAGGTAGTCAGTTCAAAGGAAACTGTGCTAGTTACCTGCAAGGCTTGTTTAAAACACTGGCTCCTGGGTCACATCCACAGCCACTAACTCAGGACATCTGGCAGTGGGGCCACAGCATCTGCATTTTTAACATACTCCCCCAAACCAAAAGTTTGTCCCTTTTTATTTTTATCAAATCATTCATTTAAAAATATTCAAACATGGACACAAATAGGATATTCAGGCATTCTGGGATTTAGTGCAGGGCACCATAAGGCCATGAGAAAAGTCAGAAAAACGTGTTTACTTGGTTATACTCATATTTACCTCAACTTTTTCTTAGCAAAGAGCGTTAATTGCTTCCAATCACATCTCCCCTGTCTGTCCAGCCACCTGAGACGCCTTGTTCCTCTCAGCAGCTTTGTCACTTGCGGCAGGTGCAACAAACAGCAGCACCTGGCAGCAGCCTATCCAAATTCGACCGGGTAACCCGAAGCAAACATGCAAACGTGCCTCTTAAGGGCAAAGATCTGGTGCGAACCCTCCGCTTTCCAGCACACTGAGAAGGCGGCTGCAACACACGCTGCGCTCCCGCCGAGACCCGCAGGCGACCCGCCTCGCACGTGGCCGCACCTGGGCGCCACTTCGGCAGACTGCACAAGTTGGGAAAACACAGGGGTCCTGAGCGGGGTGACAGCCGACAGACCCTCGGTCCCAAAGTTCAGGAAGTGAAGTCCTGCCCCCTCCCGGTCCGCTCGGTCCCCGAAGGCCGCGGGTCGGTCTTCTAAACCCCCAACTCCAATTCTCGGGGGCGGGGGGAGGGGGTTTCTGTGCCCGTTGGGCAAACAGTGAGGATGTTTTCGCTCCCGCCCCTCCCGCCGCACTCCCAGCGGCTCAACAAATCGGCTCAGAACGAACACCTCGGGGCCCGCACCCTCTTCCTCTTTCTCCGCCGTCACCCCGAGTGTCGCCACCCCGCGCAGCGGCGGCTCGCCGGCGCTTCCTGGACGCCTGTCAGGTCGCCCGCTGCCCTCAGGCCGCCCGGCCACCCCGCCATCGCCGGCTCACCTGGGCCTCGACGACGCCCAGGAGGAGGCTCAGGGTGACCAGCAGCCGCACCGCGGCCACCCCCTGCCCCGCGCCGGCCCGCCGGGCCCCCCGACTCATGCTGCCCGTTCCCCGCACCACGGCTGGCAGGGCCCCTCGGGGCCGGAGAACCATGGGCGGCCCGGGCGACAACCCCCGAGGGCTGCTGCCTGCGGCGGCGAGAGTCCAGGGTCAGAGGTCCGCGCGCCCGGCAGCTGCGAGTGAGGCGAACAGCCCCGCGCCCCCACCACATCCCCGGCGGCCCCGCCCCTCGCCAGGCCCCGCCCCACGCCAGGCCCCGCCCCCGCGTCCGGTCCCGCCCCGAGCGCGGGGCCTTGTGGGAATTGTGGTCCCGCGCGGAAGGCGGAGTCGCGGCGGAGCGAACCGACATCTACAGCTGCGGAGGCAGCTTCGTCCCCCGAGCTCGGCTGCCCCGCGGCCAATGAGACTGGACCACGCGGGCCCCAAAACACGGGAGGCGCAGGTGGGGTTAAGGAGAGGCGCCCCTCCTCCAGCGGTTGTCCTGGAAATGGGACTTGGCCTCCTGTGTCGTTGTCTATGACCCCGCACTGCCAGGCGCCCCAGGTTCTCCCATTACCCACGTACGTTAGCAGCTTGGACTTTGAATCAGGGGCGCTTTCTTTGTCTCAGTTAGGGCCCTGGGGCCTCTTCCACTGGGGGACCTAGTGAGCCATCGTGGCGTCGGCCCCTCTTTTCGTTTTATACGCCCCAGATGTCATGGCATCCTCTGCCGGTCCCACTCCCACTCCCAAATTGAACATACAAATATAGTGCACCTTGGAGAATGGGACAAACCCAAAAGTCCGTAATGAAATATGAGAATGGGGATAAATGCACAGAAAAACTTGGAGTGATATAGACAGTGTTCAGCTTCCACCTGTGAAGTTTCACTTGTTATGTGATTCTAGACAAGTTACCCAACCGCTGGGTGCCTCAGTTTCCTCATCTGTAGTGAATACCATGGTGCCCCCCTTAAATTTGTTCCAGGACGGCATGAGATTACAGACACAGAGAAGTGTGCAATAAATGATAGCTGCTATTAGTTTTATTAATAGCCTTTGACCCCTAGAGAACTAGAAATACAGCATCTTTACTGTGTATTTTGTACCCATCGCTTTTATAACAAATTACCACGAAATTAAAACAAAACACATTATCTTACGTTTCTGGAGTTCAGAAGTCCAAATTGGATCAGCAGGGCTGTTTTCCTTCTAGACACTCCTGCATTCCTTAGCTCAGGACCATGCATTGTCACATCTGCTTCCACTGTCACATGCCTTCTCTTTCTGAACCTAACTGAACTAACTGTCCTGCCTCCCTCTTATAAGACCTTTGTGATTACTTAGGGTCCACTCAGATAATCAGAATAATCTCCCCATCTCAAAATCCTAATTTAGTCACCTCTGCAAAGTCCCTTTTGCCACATGGAGTAGCATAGGCATAGGTTCTGAAGAACCATTAATCAGCCTACACACAGTGCTTTATCCTTTTCAGAGCACTTTCATGATTCATGGGGCTCAGTGCAAAATGAAAATGCAGGGTCCTGGTTCCAAAAATATATAGAATTTCAAGACAGTGACAACAGAGCATGAACCCAGGTGCAGGGCCCTGCTGAGCAGAAGCTGGCTTGTCAGTCTTTGTCCTCTTCAGCAGCTCTTCTGCTTCCAACGTGCCTAGCTCTTCCCTAGCTTAAAAACAAAAAGAATTTCTGCTTGATTCTGTCTACTACTTTTCCACCTCTGCTCTTCTTTTCTTTGCCAAACCTCTATTTTCTATCCTCCCAGTTCCCTTCCCTCCTAGAAATGTCTCTGCCCATCACTCTACTAAAGCTTTTCTCATCAAATCCAGTGGGCCTTTCTTAAAAGTCCTTGTCTCTGTACTGCATTTGCTGTTATTGGTAATGCATACTTCCTGGGGTTATGTTCTAAAATATCCTGGGTGTTTTCTGATGTTGTCAAGAAAAAGTGGATTATTAATTTTCTTATCATAAAATCTCAGATCCTTTAACATATCTTTAATCTCAGGTCCCCTCCTGCTTGTAATATCAAGTGTAGAATCTGTGGCCTGTAGGTAGAGCCCTTCTAGATTGTCACTGAGTGGTTAGAGTGGTCAGCTGGGGGAAAGGGGACAGCAGGCACAGAACTCCAGTGCAGGCAGAGAGCTTCTGTCTTCTTGGTTACCTAACCCAGATATAACAGCAACAAGGATACTGTTCCCCCTCCCCCCCCACATTTATTTTCAGCTCAGAAGCCTGACACACACATCTTCTGGAGACAAGTTTTTTCTTGGTGAGTGAAATTGGAAATCACAGGTGTTTACCAGCTGATACCGTGTACCCAGATTCATTCATAATGACATCTGTGGGGATCTATTTTAGTGTGCATTGTTAAAATGAGTGTTGTGAGGGATGGTGCCTTAGGGAACAGACTGCCGCCTTCTTTGTCCTCTCACCCTGGCCTCCCTGTTCACCGTTGCTGTCCCTAAACCCAGCTGCACTGAGAGCGGCACTGTGAGGCATCAGTGATGTCACCCCGTACGTCCTGCAGGTGCAGTTTGAACCTTCCATCCTTAACGCCGATTGGAAGTCACAGAGGAAGGAAAGTGTATACTTTAGTCCCCTTTGGTTGCAAGCCACAAAAAATCACCTCTAGTTAAATTCTTTTAAAAAGAATAACAACTGAAAAAACTGTGAAATAGCTTACAGCAGAGAGGAAGATTTCTCCACTCACAGCTTGGGAGAGGCCAGTGCATCAGGACAGCATTCTGGGACATTAAGCGGAGTCTTTTTCAGGGCACTGCCATTGGACTGATCAATTCCAATTCTTTTTAGTCCTTTGTCCCTTCCCTCAAAATTCAAATTCCTCACAGACCTTAGCTTGAGGGGAGAGAGCAAGAGTGCAGGGTGAGCAAGAGGTGGACAGATGAACAGTGAGCACGCTGCTGCAGCTGTTACCAGCAGGGGCGGACAGCAGCAACAGGTGTGCCTGCCAGGAAGTCGTGTGTTTCCTCGGGAACTCCATTCCCACTTCTTCTTAACCCAGCTCTTGGTCACACGTTCACTGACTCATCACAGGTGTCCTGACGTGTCCAGAAAGCACACATCAGGATGCTGGCAGCCCGGGGACAGCAGCAGCGTGCCTCACGTAGTTTGCGTGATTATTACTACTGACATCACCTGGTTCGATGAACCTATCTGAACTGAGGTGTAGAAAAATTGGCTACATTTTCCAAGTGAAGAATTATGGGCCTCCCAGATCTATTCATTTGAGAAGGGTCAGGGCCAGCTATGAAGTCAAGCAACAATAAACGAAACTTGATTTGGGTGGGCCAGATTAGAGGAAGGGGCTAACCTGGAAGAACGATCTTAGCATGGATGGAAATCCCACTAGGGCCAGCGTGACTACATTTCCTGGGATTCTTTTTTTTTTTTTTTTTTTCTTTATTGATTGTAGAGAGAGAGGAAGGGAGAGGGAGAGATAGAAACATCGATGAGAAAGAACATTGATTGGCCGCCTTCTGCATGCCCCCCACTGGGCATCAGGCTCACAACCTGGGCACGTGCCCTGACCAGGAATTGAACCGAACCGGCGACCTTCTGGTGCATTGGTCAATGCTCAACCACTGAGCCACACCGGCCGGGCTTTCCTGTGATTTTTAATGGAGCCAAACAGAATCAGCCATGGCCCACTTCAGTGTGCTCCAGCTCTTCCTATGAATAGTGTCAAAATGTACTTACATTAAAGTTAATCTTATTCATATTTGGAATGCAGTCACACTGACCCCGTGCACAAAAAAACAGGTTTATATTTATCATAGATTTGTCCCATCCACCCACCTTTCCAGGTCATCTCTCCCTCTTCTCTGACAGGGTGGCTTCACTACCTCATCCTCTTGTCCACAATGAGTCGTCCAGAGTCGGACGGAGCACTAGCAGTCTGCTCTCTGTTAGGAGTCAGCATTCCCTGTGTGTGTGTGTGTGCGTGTGTGTGCATGTATGTGCATGTGTTACAGACATCAAAGTGTAAAGTTCCAGAAGACTCCATCTTCTTGTATGTACCAAATTCTCTTTAGTGGGTATTCAGTTCAATGAATAGTCAAGAAATGTGTGTTTACTCGACTGTTGTTCGTTTGTTAATGCTATTTGGGACCTCAGCTTATCTTAGAAGACATCTCTCTCAGAATTAACCCCTGCACGTTCATTCACTGTGGACAGTTGGGAAGGGGCTGTTTTGCACAGAAACATTCTTGGTTTAGGCGGCAAGAGGAGACTTTCATAAAGGCAGGAGATCTCAGCTCCCTAACCAGAGGTGTTTTTGGAGACTATCAGAAAGACAGAGCCAGTAACGCTCTTGTCAGAGAACTGGTTAAGACCAGTTACTGAAACCCAATACTTCAGGAGTTTGGGGGAGTTTTCTCAAGCACAATTTGAACTGTCTATAGCTAATGGTTTTGAATCAAAAGCTTGAGACTCATCTTGAGCAGATTACTGGAATGCTTCAGAGACTTTGTGAAGCAACAAAATTGAACTAAGTATTTACATTTCCAAGATACCATCGAATGTATTGTGTCGCTGTGAGTGTGTGGCTTGGTTAACTTGCGACTTCTAATGAAGGAGGAACTCATTGATGAATGGTCCTAAATAGAAGTCAAGGTAATGGGGTGGAAATTTAATAACATCAGTAATTTTCAGGCTGAGTTGTAATTCATGAACCTGCTGAGTGCTGGCAATCTGTTGTTTAAACAACTGTTTTATAGATAGTCCTGGTGTGCTAACCACGGGCCACAGCAGTTTTCTAAAAAGGGGATTTCTACTTGTAACTTAGTTATAAAGGGAATTTTTGGTGGATGGTAGGGTTTCTGAATTTACTGAAAAAAGTTCTTCCCCTTTTCTTTTGACAAGTAATAGGGATTTAAAGTAATTAAAGCTGGCCTGTGGCTTGTTATTGGTTATCTTCCTAAAGTATTTGTGTTGTCCTTTAATATTTACTCAGCTGTGACACTCTCAGGCATTTTCAGTTAAGAACACTAAAGCTGATAAACTTGAGGAAGTTAGATTTATTTCTATTTCTAAAAGAGTTTACATAGTGACATGCAGTTTGGATAAACCTTCTTTTGTATAACAAACATATTGTGGTATGCTAGAAGTTAATATATCATGTGATCAAGGGAAACATCTATTAAATCTAAATAGTTGGGAAAACTGGAATCA